AATCATTTTCTTATAATAGGTAAAACATTTAAGACAAAGTAGCTTGTTTTGCACCCCGCCCGTCACTGGGATCTATTATTCAGAGCTAGTGGGTTGGTAAAAAGGGCTCCTAATTTTCCATTCGTGGCACCAATTGCCGCAGGGCTTGACTTTATTATCTTTAGCTTGTACTTCCCTCTCAATTAGCTTCCCAAATTGCCATTCCAAAGTACATTTTTTTTCTAGATGTTATTAATAGCTATGTCTGGGGAAAAAACGTTATAAATTCAAACAAAAAAATTTCAAGTCCTAAATCTCTCACTTGGAGCTTTGTAACATACTTCAGTATATAAAAGACTCTTAGTGGAATCACAGTAAAGAAATATCTCTAATTTTGTTATAATTTGCCATTTCACAAACTTTTTTTGTGCACAAGTGTTTATTTCTTGCATACTGATTAATATCCTACAGAAGAATGTTCCATGGGCCATTGATTTGGGAAACTGATAAAGAAAAGAAAGAAGAATTCAGACATTTTTGACTTCTACATCGGTCCATCATGAACAAGCAACATTTGTAAATGCCAACATCAGAACAAACTAATCATAAAGCACCCAGCAAGACTTAAAAATTCTTAAGTACTGTTTTTTAGCTTGGGGTCTTAGGATTGGCCTATACCTGATAAAACTTTTCCTTTAACTTGACAAGAGTTATGCTTTCCTTCTTATTTTAGCACCAAATTGAAAGAACAGGCAGACGTCCCTGGTTTATTGATCTCTCACTGTGAAAGCTATAGAGTGTTCGGTCTTATAAAAACACAAACAAAAGAAATGCATTTCTCTTATCCTTGCTAGGCTTTTGAGCCCCTTATTCTTGCTGCTGAGTGGCCTAAAGAGAATCAACAAACATATCAAAATTAAGGACTTTTTGTTTATAGTTTCTTCTTTCTGCCCTGTTGATGTAGCAGGTATTAATCTGCTTTAATATACTGCTGCCCTGGTGGGGTATCCCGGCTCAGCTGAGGATGGCAGTGGGAGAACAGGTCACTGCCAATCCCAGCAGATACCTGGGGAGAAAACAATGGCCCTTCCTGGAAAAAATAATTGTCCTTTTTTTGTAGGGCATTACTTCTTGCTGTTGCTGTAACAAACATAATCTGTAACAGTCATGGGCAAGCAAGCTTTTGAGAGTTGGGCTCTTCCCAATTTGCAAGGGAAAAATATTGGCACTTCCCTTTATCTCTTGGAATTACATCTGGCATCTATTCAACACACATTTATTAGGTGCTTACTGTAGACCACGTGCTATATTAAGTGTGAGGGTTACCAAGACTAATAGCATAGTCCTCGAGATCCTGACAACGTAAATCAGAGGTGAAAGAATAAACTACTTTCTGAATACCCTCAGGAGTACCAAAGCATTGCTTGAAATACAACTATGAAAACCTGGATCCTGACTTTAGAGTAAATAGGCTCTCAGAGATTGGGAGTGTAAATCCAAAACAACGTCTTTTTCTTGTTTTCTATTGTATCCTGAGCCTGGATTAGGGCCTCTCAACAAACATTTATTGGCTATTGAATGTGCAAAGGGCCGGAGTCACGCGTGACTCTTCTATTCTATTCCCAGCACTGGCTTGTCTGGCTTTTCCTTGACAGCGTTCCCTCAGAGCGGTCCACCCTAGCTTTGACTAGCCATCTCCGGAAGTCTTGACTCACCCCCAACATTCCACCCACAGAGTCACATTCTGCCCTGTGGGACTCCAGGAAACACAGAACAGTTCCTTCCACTGCTGCTTTGTATTGTGAAAAGTTCAAGTCTACAGAAAAGTTGAAGGGACAGTGCAATTAACACACATATACTTTTCATCTATTTACCAATTATTAGTATTTTCCCATACATGCTGTTTTAGCTCTTGCTGGGTTTTTTTTGTTTTCTCATCAATCATTTGAGAGTACGTTGCAAACATAAGACTACATCATACCTAAAACTTCGGCATATATCTCCTAAGAATAAGGACATTCTCCCACATAACAGCATTCCTATTATACATCTAAAAAAAGTAATATTAATAAAATATTCTCTAAAATAAACTAATATTAAAATTTTCTTAATTATCCCCAAAGGATTTTGTTTTAAATTTGGATTTTAAAATTCCAGATTAAAAAGAAATTCACAGTCTGTTTTCATCTAGAATACTTTCCTAGCCATTTTGTATTTTTCATGGCATTATCTTTTTCTGCCAGGACTACTACTACATAAGTGATATCTACGTGTACTGTTAACATATCATCTGGGGGCATATATTGACAGGTTTGTCTCACTAATGATGATATATATAAGTTGACAACTTAATTAAGAATGTGATCACAAGATCTCTTCATTGAAAAAGTACATTTCCCCCCTTTGTAATTAAAAAATGAATAATACATTTTAAAGCAGTATGAATCTCTCTTCCTCCAACAACTTTTTACCCAAGTTTTAGAAGCCATGAATGAACCTTGTCTGAATGAACCATCATTACATTGAGAATCACAGTATCATGATTTTCTGATTCTATGATTTCTTCTACATGGATTCTTAAAAATCCGATGTGTTAAGAATCCATTATCATTTAACAATTTTTTATACTCATTATCCCATATTTGGCCAGTGGGGTCCTCCTGAAGCTGCTTGCTAGGCCTTTTAGACATGACTCCATTAGTTAAGCATTTCCTATCTTTTCGTCACATCAGAAGTCCCAGTTCACCTGTATTTTCCCCTTCCCCAGACCTGGAATCAGCCACTCCTCCAAGCATCCCTGTTTCCTCTTAGTGGGAAATATAGCATTTATGAGGAATAATTTTGCTAGTCTCTTCTACATGCCAGCCCTCTGAATGTTTGAAGCCAGGTATTTCTGTCCCATACACCTCCCAAAACGTCTATACCTAGACTAAATTCACCTCGATCCTTACATAGTCTCCCTGTGACTTAACTTTTATTTCTACCTTGCTCTTCTCTTTCATTTTCCCTGTCCCAACTCAGCTGCTATCTTCTATTCCAGTAGTCCCCAACCTGGCTATAAATCACAACCACAGGGGGACTTCTTTCATATATAGATTCCCCCACTCACTCCATACTTACTGAATGAGACTCTGGGGTAGAGCATGGGGCTGTTTTTGTTTTTTGTTTTTTTAAGTTCCCCAAGTGATATCAACCACTACACGCTTTGATTTTTTCAAGGCCTTATGGGCCAGAACTGGATACAACATCAAAAGTGTGGTCTAGAGCTATTACTTTTCTTATACTGTACACTAGTGTTCTTTCAATGTAATTAAATCAAAGCTAACATTTTGGGGAGATGGAGGCAATGACATAAAAATTTTGACTCATGATGAATTTATAAAAAATTAGATCCTCAAGATTTCTTCAGGGCCGGCCGAGTGGCTCAGTTGGTTAAGAGCTCGCTCAAGAGTTTGAGCTCTGAGCAACAGCGGTTTGAGTCCCGGCCTGAGCTGAGCAGCCGCTGAGCTGCCAACAGGTGGCAGGATGGCTCAGCTTAAAAAAAAAAAAAAAAGGTTTCTTCAAACATATCATTAAGTCACATCTCCCCCACCTCCTTATGTTCCATTGGTCTTTCAGATCTAAGTGTAAGGATTTACATTTGTTCCAATAAAAACTTATATTGTTTGATTCAGTCAAATTTTCAGTATGTCAAAGGTCTTATGGATCCTGACTGTATCATCCTAAGTATTTTTTACCCTTTCAACTTTCTGTCATTCACAGTTGAGTATGCTGTCAAAGTGCTCTCTTACATTGTCTTTTTTTTTCTGTTATTCTTTTCTTAAGTATTAAAAACATCAATCTCACAAACTTTTCTATGATTGTGGTGGTAGTCACATAACTCTATGTGAAAACTATTTGTCAAAGCTCACACCATCATATACAGAAAGGGTGAATTTTAATGTGTATGAATTATACCTGAAAAAAATCAGCCTTATGTTCCAAATACTCAGCTATATTTTTCTCCCAGATTAAGTCTCATTAACTTATTTTTGATTGACAATTTCTACAAAATGTATTGCTATTCTAACTAATGACGTTTTCATAGATTTTGTATTTTTATTTATTTAAGGTCAATGCATTCTAGGGTTTGATACCTTCAAAAGCATTATTAGGTTTTGGTTTATCAGGCCAATCAATTCAATGAATACATTGTCATTATTTTATCAGTTCCCACAACACAAACTGCAAAGCAAAAGTGATGGGATATGAAATAAGGAAAAAATAATATTAGAAAAATTACAATCCTTCACAAAACTGGGTTTAAAAAACCTGAATTCTTGCCTAGAAGTGGAAGTTAGACAATTTTCTACCTATAAGCTTGACAAGGATTTTTTTTAAAAATAACTCTTCAGTATTGGTGAAGATCTTGTGAAACACTCTCAGACAGTGTGGGTAAAAGGTTTAAGTGACATAACCTTCCTGGCAATTTGAAATTATCTAGCAAGAACTTAAAGAATTCAATTGGAATATAGATATACTGATAAAAAATCCAGAAGAAATTCTAACAAATTTTTAGCAGTAACCAGCCATCTCTAGCTGATGGGAGACAGGCTGCTATGTTTTCCAATGCTTTGTATTTTTTAAAAATATTTTTTTAAAAAGTCTATAATGAGCCCATGTTAGTTTTATAATTAGGAAAAAAGCAATACACACTTTTAAGAATATTGGTTCAAAGGAGGGGGTGGGGAGAAAAATAAGCCACAAAAAGAAGGAACTAGGGATAAAATAACTTTTTTGTACAGATTTACCTGTGAAACTGATAGGAATTCTCAAAATAAAAATGTCTTCCAACTAGTCAATAGTTTTATAAAGAATTGTTGTTTGGAGAATGAATATTTCCCTTGTAAAGTTTCTTTGAATGCCATAAAAGATTCAAATACTCATACACTAACTCTAAAAGGGACACTTGCATTGCCTCCAAAAAATATTTTACAAATGAGAAGTTTTATACAGAATTATTAAATACTATAAATTCATACCTTGAAGAACGATGCTCTGGCTTATTTCGTTCGTTGCAATCTGTAAAGAAAGAAGATGGTTACATGTCAAAATGCTCTTTAGAAGCTCTGGAAAGTTCTTCAACACTAGCTGCCATACCATTAGATTTCACAAGGACTGTTCACAAGGTTTCTGTGTCTTCTCCTGTACAAGGTTCTTCATCAGAGTTGAGAGGTTTTGTCGGACAGAGAAGGTAGAAAGGATACAAAGAAGGACAGCATATAGTTTTTATGGTTAGTTAAAATAATCTATGTGGAAAAGATATCATTACATGTATTATTTCTTTCTCGAAGATATTTGCTGTTTTAAACACTTTGCTAAAACCAAAACAAATTTAGCTAAGGAAAGAAAGAAAGCTGAAAAGCCACAAATTACTCAGCTCCAAAAAATCATTCCATGAATCATGGTTGGCAAAAGCTTCTAACCGGATGGGGAGGGGCAAAATGAGCAGTCAGCTACAGCAACATCTGCAAATACACTAAAACCCGTACAATCTCATCCTTAACTCTCTATCCCCCGGAACATTCCAGAAGTTGGATCTCAAGGTTTCAATTAATTAGGTGTAATGTGCTTATGCTTATAAGGCAGTGGTTTTCAGCCAGGGGTGATTTTACCACCCCTCCCCCAGAGAACATCTGGCAATATCTACAGACATTTTTGGTTGTCACAACTGGAGAGGAAGGGGCTACTAGCATCTAGCGGGTAGAGACGGGGATGCTGCTAAAATCCTGCAATAAAGAATTATCTCACCAAAATGTCAACAGGGCTGAGGTTGAGAAACCCTGGGATAGGGCAGAAGAAATAAGCTTGACTGTTTGAAGTTTTCAAAAGTGCCGTTTTGAATTGCTGTGAAATGCTGTTAATCAACCTGAAGACTATCATATACAAGAGAAAGAACCAAAAAACGCACAGGTTGTGTCTTTTTTGACTCTGAACAACATGTTTTTTCAGTACGTGCTTAAAAATAAATAAGACAACATAAATCGGCCTCAGTGTTATGGAGCAACTAACAGAAAGCAATGTGTGAGCCACAATAAAATCCTGTGCAATGACTTTTAAAAAAATACTTAAAAAAAATACTATGCAGTGCTGTCAAAATATAGTTTTCTAATGTATCTTCTGAATTAACGCTAACATGATAGAATTTAATCCCAAAACAAAGATTAGACAGAATTTTTCCCCCCCTTAATTGTATTGCTGGTGGAGCAGCAGCAAGATAATGAAAATATGCTGTAAAACTTCTGGAAAGAATTATGGAAGAAATGGAATCAGGTTTACATAGTTAAATGTATAGATCAGTTCTTTCTGAATGGGTTCATAATAAAAAAGAAATGTTTCTCAAACCAAAGAGTTAGTACACATGAAGACACTGTTCTCTGTAAGGCTAACAAGGAGGAAGACTAACAATAAAACATGTTTGTTTAGATAAAATGCTCTCCAAAGTGCACACTGTAAATATGTTTCTGGGTCCAATTTCTCTATACAGTGACTTAGTGTTACTGCTGCTTTTAAAACTTTTGTTTTAATTTAACTTTGTTTTACTCTGCCATTAAATTAAAATATCATGGTTTTTCACTTGTTGTGTACTAAAAATGTAGTCACAGCAAGACAATGCACAGTTTTATCATTTTTTCAATCGTTCCTCTTCAGCTTTTAGCCTGCTAGTTGTGCTAACAAAAGTAAAGTATAATGTCTCAAAATACAGCTGGAAACTGGGTGCATATCAGCTATCCTCCTACAACAAAGCAACGACTCTTACCTGTGGCTAAAGATGAGCTCAGAGTCTGCCCGTGATACCATTTGCTGTGGCTGTGCCCCTACTTTCATATCGTTTATTTCGGCATGCGACCCGGCCTCCCGCACTCATCTCCCTTGTGGTACAACACAGGAGGAGGAGGGGAGAAACAGAGTCACAATGGGTGTAAACAAGACAGCATCTGAGGGCTTCCCTCTAGGGCCTGTTCTGATTGGCAGATGTGCTATGACCAGTCTGCACAGCTGGAATGCGGCCATGCAGGAAGCGAATGGCTCACAGTTTTCCTTCATTCTTGTTAAAACAGGGAATTTTGCAGTCATTTTTACACTTTCTGTTGTGAAAAAAATACAAATGCCGCCCAGCAGTTCTCTTCTATCGAGCCAGTAATTAAAATCCAAGAAAATAAGTTGATAATCTGTTGAAGGGCATTTTAACCACTCCCTCCCAAATTCACTCAGTGTTATAAGTGTTACATTTCTATGTAAATATGCATACTGTGTTTGTCACATGTTACCCCTAAGTACCATATATTTGACAATTTGAAGGTATGGGCAAATTATCCATTACCATATTCCCCCTTCTCCCCCCACCTCTTGACATTAGAAAACAAACTAAAACACATGTTCTTGGTGTGATCTTTTTTCTCAAAATATACAAATACTTGTATTTCTCATTTTGCCATAAGCCATCTTTTAGCTTGAATACATATAAATATGTAGTGTGTGTATGTCATATATCTGTGTAGCTACACATATTTTTATACACTAATTTTAAGCAAAGTAATTTTCATGACAGTCAAGAATATTGTGCAATTGTCAGGAAATACATTACTAGTAATGCTGAATTTCTGGCAAAACAATAAGTCGTTATTACTTCGGTCCAAAAGCCAAGACTGAACAAAAAAATAGCACTGAGGGTAGATTTGAGATCTGGATCTCTTGCTAATAGTAATAAAACATTTGGATAATATCCCCCTAAGAAAAATAAGAACAGATCTATAGTGAAATGTTAATTTCATCTTGACTATATACAGTGCTGTACGCATATGTATTTAATTTATTTCAAATCAAATACTCTTTGGCACATCCCCTCAAATGTTTAGTTTCTAATTTTTAAATAATTTGAAAAATATATACTTGCAAAGGCTTCCTGAACTTTTACATACTTAGAAATCATACAAATAACTTACTAGCCCAAAGTCTCACCACTTCAACAAAAAAAAAGTTTTTAAAAATAAGAATGCCCTAACTCTAAAATTTAGTTGTCAAATGCTACACATTTACTGTGGATAACGAACTAACTCCAGGGGTGCATCACGCTGAGCATAATAATTTAGGTCACTCAAAGATCTTCAGTACATTCTCAATGTGAAAGTCAGCACAGCTGGATGGCTATGTCAAAGTCTGTTGGTTTCGCAGGTATATGTCACACACACACACACACACACACACACACACACACACACACACACACACACAGAGCACGAGCATGAGAGCACTTGCATTCCCTGTCCCTAGTTATCCATGTGTCCTGGTTAATACAGCTAATTGAAGAAATGGAAGAATTTCCTGCAAGCAGAACAAAGGCAGAATTTAAGGTTGTATGTGTGTAAATGTTGATAAATGTGTGTAAATAGAGAGATAGATGTAAAGGAGGCAATGGGGGAAGCCGTGGCACATCAAGGGGACTGAGAATCCGGAGAGTGGTAGGAAGCTACACTGGGTCAGCGGCTCTGAGCACTCCAGGTTACCCAAATTTTCGTGCCACGATGACTTCTGGTTCTAAGCAATCTGTACATACATAATTCTAATGTTTATGTGTTCAGATGATATACCACGTACATAGAAATGGGCTCCTATTCTGTCAGGGACAGCTTTTGGGGAATGGCTAAACAGATTCTACTGATGTGTACCCATTTAGGGTGATCCTGAATCTAATAAAATGACAAATACTTTGAAATGAAGATCGACAAAAATGCAAAAGTCATCTTTTGCTTTGATTAAAACTAAGAAGAATGGCCAATTTAGAACTTATTGTAATCTACAGTAAGATATGCAGGATTTAAGGATTTGGCTTTGATCACTTAACTGAAGAGAAAATCAAACCCCACTGGGTAGGGACTTCCACTGCTAACTCAAGCTGGCAGTGAAAAGTTCTACATCATTCTTTGAAATTAGTGGGAAGACACTGTCTATGGGAATGAATACACACAGACACACTCAGGATACAGTAGGAAGTGGTACAAAGGAACCTGCCTTGTACCTCATATTGGAGTATTAAAATCTCTCTTTATAATGAGTATCATCTATGAAGGGATTCTGTGTCGTACTCCCAAGCATTACTGTCAAATTCTAGCTTGAGCATAAATATAGTATGTTATTTTTTTTAAAAAAAACTGATCAATTGTGGAGGATTGGGGGGGTTGTCACTTTGAGGGGTAAAAAGTGTAATTATTGCACTGTGTTGTATACCTGAAACTAATTTAAAAAACACTGAGCAATTCTACATAAATGTTTTGTATCATTCAGTATTAACTAAAGGATCCGCACATTCTAAAAAATAATTCTTTGCAGCAACAATATCATTACCTGGGGGAGGTCGAAGAGGGAAACGGTCAAATATGTGGTGACGTTAGGGGACTAAACTTTGGGTGAGGAGCACACAATGCAATAGACAGATGATGTATTATAATATTGTATACTTGAAACCTAATATAATCTTATTAACCCATGTCACCTCAGTAAATTTAATTTTAAAAAGATAACAAAACTGGTTCTACTCAAATAGAACATGAATGGCATTTTCCATATCTCAGCTCAAAGGATCACAGTTTCAGAGGGTTTTCTAAAATTTTCAAATGGTTCTTATATTTGGGCAGAGAAAACTGCAAATCTATTTCTACTGGAAAAAGAGCTAGTGTTCACTCTACAGTATTACTGACACCAAACTAATACTTATTCACCTCCCCTTTCTAATTCCATTTCACCACCCTTGGTCAGGGGTTTCCAAACTGATTTTTTAGTCACGTTTGACTAGTGACTAAAAATCAGTGACTAGTATATTGCTTTTAAATGGCAGGAGGTTTTCAATAAATACATATTTATTGTTGTTGAACTTAAGTAAGAGAGTTACTATCTTTTGGTTTAAAACACCAAGAAATTACAGACAATCTCTGTGAGTTATAACTGCCAGCGAGAAATGAGGCATGTCATAGAGAAGTGTGCATGACCTCTGCCCACACCTGTGTGGTAAGTGGAAAAGTCTG